GTTTGAAGAAGTATTACTTTAGTAATACTTCAAGTACACTAAAGGTACATTGTTCGGTATACTTTCTAAACTTATACTTAAGTATAAGTTATAAGTATTCTTAATAGAATTTACTTCAGCTTTTTGCTAAGGGAACAACTTTAATGTTTTTTTTAACGGGTTGTTTTTTGGGGCAGTATTTTAAGAGGATCCATCATATGGGGTTTCTGCTGCTACTTTCATTTAAATGTGTTTAAATGTGCCTCTTAACTACACAGTACACTTTTATTTACAAGGCCCTTTTTGGATTACTAATTTGTACCTAATTACACAGAAAAGTATGGCTTCTTCTGCCCTGAGATCCAGCGATCAGCTGCTGTTCACTGTTCCTTTTGCCCGCACAGAGCTAGGGAAGAAAGCCTTTAGCTACGCAGCTCCTTGTGCGTGGAATTTCTTTACAAAGAAACTGGAAGTTGACTGAGTTTTTATCTTTAAATGCTTTTAAGTTGAAAGTGAAAGAAGTTGAAGCAGCCTGAATGTTTTTTAGTTTTTTTTTGTTATGTACCTGTCAATTAATTTTATGTATCTCTTTTTATCATGTAACTTTGCTGCTTTTTGGCCAAGACTCCCTTGAAAAAGAGGTTTTTAATCTCAATGTTGTTTTTTCCCCCCTGGTTAAATAAAGGTTAAATTAAAAATAAAATACTATATATGAAACTCTTGACTCTTTTGTCTGTGTTCTCATTCTGTTTTTCTTCTTATTCTAACCAAAATTTGCTTCCTCTAATGTTACTTCATGGTTCAAGATGGGTTTACATTATTAGATGCTCCATAAGCCAAATTACGGCACTTTAGAAATTACTCTAAAGGTTTGATGTGAAGCTTTTTAAAGTGACTCAGTTAATATCCGCTTTATAACATTCATTCTTTTTTACATTCCTGCATCTTACATCCAATATTACACAGGTAACAGGATATGAATATATAAAACCATGAAATATAACTCAATTATTGCACATTTCCCACTGTTGTCAGGTACAGGTTCATTTGGCTTGGGTCTTTTAACACAGAAAATATAGACTGGAGAATAACAACTTAATGTTGTTTTAATGGGTTGTTGTTTGGGGCAGTATTTTAAGAAAATCCATCACATTGAGTTTCTGCTGTTACTTTCAGTGTTTAAATATGCCTCTTAACTACTATGTATAAAACTCTCGACTGTTTTGTCTGTGTTCTCATTTTGTTTTTCTTCTTATTCTAATCAAAATTTGCTTTTCTAATGTTACCTCATGGTCCAAGATGGGTTCACATTATTATATGCTCCATAAAAAAATTACAGCACTTCAAAAATTACTCTAAAGGTTTGATGTGAAGGTTTTTAAAGTGGCCGTGTTATGTACCATGTTTTATTCTTTTGCACCACGCTCTTTGTTTCTTTGCACCATGAAACCAAACCCAGGTTTCTGATTACTCTTTACCCATGCTATTGCATCAGAACCACAGATTTCACTGGATCTTATTTGAGTTTTGTGAGACAGAATAACAGAAAGTAATGCATGATTTTAATAGTGGAGGGAAAATGTTGGTAAACAAAAACCTGAATGTGTCTAGCATCAGCTATCCATCCTCTTCTGTTAATCTGGGATTGAGTTGCTGGGTTAACTGATCCTTGAAATCCCAGGTATCTCCCCCCAGCAGTCTGCTCATTCCTATTGTCTATGCAGGAATTTCTGGGGTTACTTTACAGTAGGACATTGTATAAAGGAAGCTTGCCTATCATTTAAAATCCCCCAACCCCAGTCAATCTCTTCTTGAGCTGCATTTAGCTATAATTACAGCCACAAACCTCTGAGGCAGGTCTCCACCAGTTTCCATGAGAAATTCACGTTTATGTCATTTTGGCCCCACATATACTGTAAGTCAAGGATCCTGATCATTTCAATGACAGTTATTCTCCAACTTTGGGAACCTGTGCCCTAGTTGGTTGATTATGAATCTTGAAATGGATTTCTTTTAAACTAAAACCCTCTTTTTCATTTTTTTTTTATTTAAGGTGACATTTGTGGAATTAATCACTTGTAGCTTTTCTGTGACAGATTATCCCACCTGAGGTATGCATGTTTGCAACTCTACCAAAGGTACCATGGGCCTCTTGATTTCTCCTTAAATTGATGCTTTCTGCTCCTGTCCTGTCAGCATATGCTGACTGCCAAGTATTGGAAAATTTGCATCTGAGCCTTTATCTTTCCTTTTTTATTTGATGGAATGCAAGACATCCCAAGTTCCAAAAGCTAATTTCAGGGAGATGCTTATTATACCCCCCCAAAACACACACACACCCTGGGGAAAACAGACCCGCACGGTGCTCTATACATACACACTTAAAGCCAGCAACTTTTCCACAACTGTTTATTAACTAACAGTAATTTTATAAACACAAAACAGAACAGTATTGGTCTTTTATTTTTAATACTTTCAATCTTGTAGCCTTAAACATCGGTTGTGCTTTCTGTTTTTCATGGGACTTCCGCATACAGTGCACCTCGCCACGGTGTCATCATTCCTCACCATGGCCGGTTCTAGACAGTGGCCAACGGGGGCCTGTGCCCCTTTAGATCATGTCCTGACCCCTGTTATGGCCCCTGTACTGAAGACATAATACTTAAAAGAAATTCTAATGATGATGTGCTGGAACAGGCATGGTTACTGATAGGTCATTTGGATCTATTTAATTCTTTTTCTTTACAAATTCTCTTTTACTAATTATTCAAAAACAATAAGGCGATAGCTTCAGTGGTGTTGAGGTGGGATTCCAGTTTTCATCTGCTAAATGTTTTTTTTTTCACAACAAATAGAAAAAAAAATTCTCTAATTTTTACAGATTAATTTAACAGTTTTTCTTGAGTTCTAATCAAAATTTTATTGAAAATGGTAGTTTTAACTTAAATTAAGTCAAAAATATTTAAAATTACTAAATTATAAATGTATATTGGCCTCATAAGAAATAGAATTTTTATAGAACCTAAATGAAAAGAAGTTTCACTTCATGCAGCACTCTTAATATATTTGAATCTCTTGCCCTGTTTTTTTAATTTCATGCTCTTCTGTGCCCCCACGAAACCACGCTGGCCCCCTCCTGGCCCCCTGGTACATTTGGTCTAGATCCGCCACTGTTCCTCACCTTCACCAGATGTGGATATACTTTAGTATATTCTGAAGTAAA